TCTCTGTCTCTGTCTCTGTCTGTCTGTCTGTCTGTCTGTCTGTCTGTCTGTCTGTCTGTCTGTCTGTCTGTCTGTCTGTCTGTCTGTCTGTCTGTCTGTCTGTCTGTCTGTCTGTCTTTCTCTGTCTGCCTCTCTCTCTCCCCTTCTCTTGATGTTGCTGTTATCCTCGTGCTGGCAGGTGAAGCCGTACGGGTCGTTCGTCACGGGACTGTCACTCCCGTGGAGTGACCTGGATCTGGTCATCTGCCTCCCCAAGGTGTGCAACTCCCTCCCTTTCCCGTTATCTCCGCACCTACAACAATACCAGCAGTAGGTGTTGCTGATGTTATTTCTGCTGTGGTTTGTGGTTGGTTGCAGTGCTCTTCGATGTGTTCGAGCTTGTCCTCCATGTCCTTCAGCACACCGACGCAGGTCTGAAACAGCCACGGATCCCGGACACCGGAGTGGTGTGGCCGTTGTTGCTGTTGATTGCTGGCGCTTCTGGTAGTTCCAAGAAGGCTGTGACCATACGGCCATACCCGGGAGTGCGGACCCTCTGTGCCGCGTAAATTTTCTTCACGTATCCATACCCAGATTGACCTCTTGGTGTTGGTCCCGAGACCAAAGTCTAAGTCTTAAGTCTTGTCCCGGTGTGCCAAGCAACCCTCCCCCTGTTTGTCCACAACGATACGTACGCAGGTGCGGCGAGATGCGCCGGCGGATACACCGGGAGCTCTTGAGGGCAGAAACGCCATCAAGGAGACATGGCAACAGGAGCTCGCGCGCAGCCTGGGCGGAGAGTGAGTACCCCCCCCCCCCCTCCCCCCCCGCGCGCCTCCGCGGTGTGAAGGTGTCAGCATGTGTTACTCGTCACCAGCAGCATAAGTTTCTTTTGCGTGTCATGCGTACTTGGACCCCAAGCTCTCCTTTTTTTAGTGACAAATGCGTCTGCTCGTTTGACGGTGAAGGGCCAATATGGACCCCTCAATAACCACGCCCTCTCTCTGCGACCCACGGTCTTCACACACACACACACCCTTCCCCCCCCTCCCCCCGATGTATTTTTTCCTCGGCGTCTGTACCCGACTGGCAACCAACCTACAACCATAGGCGCTGGGTCGACAACAACTCCCTCAAGATCATCAGCCACACGGCCGTCCCCGTGATCAAGCTCACCACGCAAGGCTACGTGCCGGGGTTCACGTCTCCGGCAGGGGTTTCCAGCGGTGGAGGCGGCGGCGGGCGTAGGAGTCCCGTCGTCGAAACCGTCCCACCTGCCCCTGAGACATCGCGGGAGAGCAACCCACCGGCGGCGGCGCATGTTCTCGGCCAGCAATCGGCGGCGACCGCGCAACATGGGCCGGGTTCTGCTTCCGCTGCGGCGGTTGCTGCCGCTACTGGACCGGGGGGACCTGAGGCTGGAGATGATGGCGGAGGGGGGGACGCCCGTCCTCCTCCCGCCGTTGATTCGGTTCCGGGCGGGGATGATGACGGGGCAGTTGCCGCGGGTTCCGATGCCGACACGCCTGCTGAGGGCGCGGAAGGGTCACATAGGCAGCAGCAGGAACAGCAGCAGCAGCAGCAGAGGTCATCGTCTGCCTCCACCGCGAAAGCTACGGCAGGGAGCGCTACTGGTGTTGCTGCTCCGCCGGTACCGTCCGCGGCGGTGGTTGACGGCAGCGATGCTGCTCCTACCGCAGCAGCAGCAGCAGCAGCAGCAGCTGCTGCTGCTGCTGCCGCTGCTCTTGATGCCGACGGGCCTGGCGCTGGCGCTGGCGCTGGCGGTGTAGAAGAGACAACAACAGCAACGACGGCGTCGCCGCACGGGACCGCCCCCACACAGCAGCAAACACCGACCAACGAGAAGCCGTCGGGCACCACGCCACCGCCAGACACCGCCACAGCGGGGGCGTCCGGGGGGGCAACTGGAGGCGAGAAAGGCGTCGTCAATGACGCCGACGACGGTGTTAAGGCTGTTGGTGGTGGTGGTGGTGGTGGTGGTGGTGGGAGTGGAGTTGATGCGGTGGGATTGCCGCGCGTGATGGTGGATGTTAGCTTCGAGGGGCAGGGGCACAACGGGCAGGCGGCGAACCAGCTGGTGAAGGACCTGGTGGATGGTTTCCCGGCGCTGCGGCCGCTGGCGCTCTTGCTCAAACAGGTGTGTGCGTGTTTTGTCTTTCTTGATTAGTGCAAGAGGCGGAGAGAACGCACCTCCCGTAGACCGACGTTCATCAAAGCCTGCTTGCCTCACAGCCAAGGGGGTACGGAAACACCCCGATACGTCTACGGAAAGCCCTCGACGAGATGTTTCCAAAACCACCATTTTTTGTGTTGGCACGATCTTGGTCGTGGAGCAATCGAGCATAGAACATCGGTCTAGGGGGGTGTGCCATCTCTGCGCCTCTTACGGAATACCACGGTACGGTATACGGTACGGTACAGACAATCTTGGTCGTGGAGCAATCGAGCTTTGAAAAGTCTTTCTAGGGGGGGTGCCACTTCTCCGCCTCTTATGGTGGCATCGACCGCGCTAGCCGGCTGACCAATGAAAAGACGTCAGTCTGTCTTGTAGCGGAATGAAGAACACGACACTTTCAACAAATAAGTGTTTTTTTTCCTTCTTTTTTATGTACCGTGTGTAGGGATGGTAAATTCGGTGGACTACTTTGCTCAGTACGGCAGATGTTTGATGCGGTACTTCTACTGTAGGTGCAATGCGACACTCTAGCGGATGCAGCTAGGAGTTGTGGGTCGGAGACCACCTGGAGCACGGCAGAAGAGTATTGTAGCAGCATGGCATTGGCTCGCTTGGTACGGACATACACGTCTCTTCAACTCCTTCTGGTGGTTTTAGTTTGTTTCAACTCACCAACTGCCCCGTCACCGTGACCGCCCCCCCCCCCCTCCCCCCCCACGATTCCCCCTCCTTCGTCAAAGTTCATGATGGAGAAAGGCCTGTCTGTCAGCTACACCGGAGGGCTATCGTCGTACGCGCTTACCCTCATGGTCGCAAGGTGCACGGGTCTTTGGGGGGATACATACGTAGAACGACCACGCGCCTTCGCGCCGCCTCAGCAGCAGAACGTACAGACAGAGTGATCCTACGTAGCGCCGTTTCTTGTGTCGGATCAACACTTCGTGACGACAAATGTCCCGCCAGTGGTGGCGTGGTCGTCTCAGCCGGCTGGTGGTCTTTGAAGTTCGAATAAAAGGCGCTTTCCGTTTGTTGCGGTACAACAGCAGTGGGCCCTGTGTAGTGCCGGTCAAACCTCAGGACACGAGTGAGTGTCCACTCCCATACTAAAACCCATATATATATATATATATATCCTTGAATAGCGCCGGTGGCCCGGTACAGTAGTGCCGGTCAAACCTCAGGACACGAGTGAGTGTCCACTCCCATACTAAAACCCATATATATATATATATATCCTTGAATAGCGCCGGTGGCCCGGTACAGTAGTGCCGGTCAAACCTCAGGACACGAGTGAGTGTCCACTCCCATACTAAAACCCATATATATATATATATATCCTTGAATAGCGCCGGTGGCCCGGTACAGTAGTGCCGGTAAAACCTCAGGACACGAGTGAGTGTCCACTCCCATACAAAAACCCATATATATATATATATATCCTTGAATAGCGCCGGTGGCCCGGTACAGTAGTGCCGGTAAAACCTCCAGACACATACCGGCACTAAACAGTGCCCACTACTATATTGGCGCAGCTGTTTCTTTTTCTACTTTTGGGGATGTTCCGCCCCCCTCTCGAAAGGACTACCGAAATCGACTCCACAATTCAGCACAAGAAGAAAATATAACATGATTGATGACGCGCCCCCC